AAAAAACACCAAATTCAAAGGCAGTATTTGTCATATTTTATTATTCATAAATAACGCAAAGTATCTCAAAACTTTAAAACTATGACAGCTGATACACTTAAGAAAAACAGTAAATTGATCTTCACAAAAGGGAAATGGGAAATAGGTCACAGACAATAAACAATAATTAGAAATTACAGTTATTCTCAAATAGATTGATTTTTTAGCCTTCAAAACTCGATTGAAGCCTCAAGAACAACCAAGAGAGGCTCTGATACCAATGTTATACAAAGCTGAACTCAAAATCACAGATTGAAGCACCTATTACAAAGTTTATCTCCAAATCACTGAACACCGAAATTTCCCAGATTGAAGGCTCAAAATATTGTACCCGTTTGTATCAACACCATGAAAAATCCAGATTCACCCAGAACCCTCAAGATTCACAGTAAACATGCAGCTTCTTCTATGGAGTAGAAGAGCTCAATGTTACCAACAACAACATTGCTTTTCACCATATTTCACACAAAAATGAGAAAATACACTCAAGAAACAGATTCAAGAGTTCCTCACAGCAGAAGATGAAGATGAAAAGAGAGAACACCGAAAAATCTAGAAAACCCTCAAGAAGAAGAATGAAATTAGAATCAATGAATGAAAAACCATTCGAATACCAAATATCAACGCATCGAGATGAGCAACAGTCAATCCAACGATCCAAAGAAACTAACGCTTTTGTTAAAGGAAATACAACTAAAGTTGCATTAGCCAAACACGCTTTTACTGGATCGGATATTGGGTTGGGTTATCCTGGCTCATTTCAGATGAATATATTGGGCAATAGCAATTGGACAGAAAGTCATTTCATCATCGCCTATTGGACTGGACTTGCATCACAGTCTTTACATTGTCATCATACACCCTCTAGGAAAGTCCTCATCTCCGTAGATGTACATTTTTTTTGAAAATCTTTCCTATTTTCCAAAGTCCTAACTTCATGGGGAGTATACAAGTGAAGATAAGACCATAACTCCTTCAGAGATGGAACTATCATGTACCCCAGTCTATGCTTCAAATAATTTAGAGTCCAATATAACACGACCATACCTCTATCGAACTCCCACATGAAAAACAAAAGAAAGGTCAACAATTTCCACTTCAAGTTTATTCAAAGGGGACCCGACCTATTCAAAATACTCACTACTCAGCGAGTCTTCAATCTTGCAAATAAGGCATATTTTGTCTCGTCAAAATTTTGGCAATGATACTTTATTTCAGTGTCTTCCAGCTAGTTTGACGTTGATAATCAAAATTTTGAATTTAAAATTATGTTTAGGAACCAATTTAAAATTAAATTAAAATTCTAAATAATATAAATGAAATTTAATGGTCTATGTAAAGTTTTGCTGAAACTTTCGTTATCGCAGGCAAAATTTACCCAAAATTCTTTCTTGCAAATTTCAACAAAATTTTGTACAAGGTAAATTCCAAAACGTTGTTTATTAAGCAACTAAAGTTTCACATCAATTACTAAAGATTAGTTTTATTTATTAATACTAGTTTTTGCCCATGCGATGCACAGGTTGTGTTTTTCTCGAGGATATGTTAACGTTGCATGAAGTAGTAGGTTATTATTATGCTTCATTTGAAGGATTCCAGCTTTTATTTTTGTGTTCATGTTTTTGCTAGATGTTGTTTAGATT